TATTACATAGTTTTCAAATGTTTTCCATATCTATCAAAAGGTTAATTTAATTTATAAAATCGATTTGAATATAAAATTTCCATTAGTTTATATATGTTTTAAATTGATATTATTTATAATTAAAATAAGATTTTTAATATATCTTTGTATTAATATATATATATATATATATATATATATATATTATATATTTATATACTCAAAAATATATATATATATATAAATTATATTAAGCTTTATATTAAAACCTTATACGGATTGAATAATAGTTTAATAATAGATAGAATAATAGGTCAATCAAAAATATGATATAATTGATTTAATAATCAATAAATTCTATTAACATAAATTATAATTATTCTAATGCCATATTAAAAAATAAATTTTAAACCTAATTCAATTCTAAAAAAATCAACCTGTAAAATAATATTTTCCCTCATTTATATATAGTATAAATATACTCTATCTCTGGTTAGAAACTTCCATGATAATGTATATCACATTTGCAATAATGGCTAAAATGGGTCCATCTAAGCCTCGACGCGGCTACAATAGATGGCAGGACTATACAGAGGCTCAGCAAAGAAGAAGGGGATAAAATTATCATTTCCTAAAGTCTATATCGGTGCAGAAAGAAAAAAATTGTGTTGCAGGAAGAAACACCCTGCTAAACTATAACACTAATGGCGCATAACAAATTCTTGAGTGTTGCTCCCCACCACCACCACATCACATGCTCCCTGCAGCTTCATCTTTCACAAATATTAATATTCGTTTACATATTTTATATTTTAATTTATTATTTTTATTTAAAAAAAAAATCTTCAATGAACGTGACCACATGGATATGAAACGTCCTAGATTTTTCAAAAATATTTTTAATTATTATTTACAATAGAATACATAACATACATTAATATAATTATTTTTGTTAAATAAAATAAAATTAATTTATAAATAATTAAATAATAATTTTAGAAAAACTAAATAATATTTATATATTAATTTAAAATATAATAAATTAAAAAACTAAAAACTAGAAAACGAAAAACTTCACTATCGTCACATGGTACCATCCGTTTTAATAAATTTTTTATAAATATTTTAATTATTACTTAAATAATAATACATAAATTAAATTAATAATAATTATTTTATTAAATAAAATAAATTTAATTTATAAATAATTAAATAATAATTTTAAAAAAATTAAATAATATTTATATATTAATTTAAAATATAATAAATTAAAAAACTTAAAAAAAAACTTCACGGATGTCCATCGTTATGTGGAACATCCGTTTTAATAAATTTGTTTAAAATATTTTAATTATTATTTAAATAATAATACATAAATTAAATTAATAATAATTATTTTATTAAATAAAATAAAATTATTTTATAAATAATTAAGTAATAATTTTAAAAAATTTAAATAATATTTATATATTAATTTAAAATATAATAAATTATTAAACAAAAAATTAAAAAAGAATTTCACGAATGTCGCCACATCCATTCTGTTTTAATAAATTTTTTAAAAATATTTATACATAAATTAAATTAATAATAATTAATTTATTAAATAAAATAAAATTAATTTATAAATAATTAAGTAATAATTTTAAAAAAATAAAATAATAATTATATATTAATTTAAAATACAATAAATTAAAAACATAAAAATTAAGAAAAAGAAAAACCTTGTGGCACATTTATTGAAGAATTTTTTCTTCAACGGATGTCGACATCCGTTTAAGAAAAGAAGTGGGAGTGTAGAATATTTTAAAATATAAAAGATAATTTTGAAATTTAAAAAACATGTAATGGTGCAGGAAGCAATGTGGGTGGTGTAGGGAGCAATCCTCCAAATTCTTATATATACTTTCATAGTTGGGCTTTATTGATGCCAGACCCAATTTCTTTGAAGTCGGCTTGCTTAGAATGAACTTTCAAAAATACCCAAAACTGCCTCAGACAGAGAATCCCAAAAATATGGATGCACCGGTTGCTTAATATATCAAAAAATATAACAGAAAAGAAGAATAAAACTTACAATCCATCTCATAGCAAGCATATATATTAATTTTCTTTCGTTATAATGGCTATATGATATCTTTAAATTTTTATTTTCTTAAGTTATTTTTGTTTATATATTTTTAGCCTTTTTTATTCTTACTTTTAAGTCTATTTTATACATTTAGAATTGCCTAATCATCCCAATTTCAAAATAGTTTTAATGTAATACATTTTAAAAGTAAAATAATTTCTAAATTAAAATTATCTGATTTCAATAAATTATATTTATTGTTTAAAGCTCTTATTTATATAATACCATTTATAAATATTATTTTTACTTTTAAATTACATAATTTCATGAATGAGCATTAGTAAAAGTTATTAGTTGAAACCCCTTTATTTTAATGAAATTTACATTATAATTGTAAGATCCATGAAAAGTATTTATCTTAAATTTTATTACTAGTAGTAATAAATTTCTGTGTGAATAGAAAATATAATTAATAAGCTTATATAAATAAAACGTGATAAGTTAAATAAAAATCTACAGTAGCTCATATGGTAAATATCTTGTAACATTTGGGACATATGTTCAAACCTAGTAAAATATATTTCTTCAAAAAAAATACATTTTTGAGGTTTTTAATAATCATCCAGTATCAAAATAATTATGCATGTTTTATAAATGATTTGTTGCATGTTAGCTCACCCTACTTGTTTGTGGATGTGAGTTTAAAACATATATACATATGTGCTAATGTAATTGTTTTTATAGTTTTTTGTAGTAAATAACTTTTTGTATATATTTAGAGATTGATTGCCATAGTTTAAAAATAAAATATGCACAGAAAACTTCAAAAAGTAGACTTTATGACAAGTTAACCTTTAGAATATTAATAATTTAAAAGGGTTTACAACAAAAGCTCATTTTACATAACAAATAGTAAATACAAATGTCACTTACTATGTCTAATTATCCATTGTATAGTAATTAGTTTACTTGGCTTATGTAAACTGAACTTCTTTTATGCAAATAAAACATCTTTCATATTCTATTAATAACGTTTTTTACTGTAAAGAAAATAGTTTTTTAGTATTATTCTTACAAAAGCTCGTATTTTTTTTAATTTGTGTTATTTATAGATTTAGCCAGTGGATTCAAGATTGCTTAATTTATACTATATTCAGTATATTCATACAATAACATGTAAACATTTATTGAAAGAAATTATTTTAATTAACTGCATATGTAAAACCAAACTTTAGTTGTACACAAATAGAGAAAAATGATCATTTTTACACTTACACTTTATTTTATATCCTTTCAAAAAAAGATTTGATATTATAAAGAATAAATAAAAAAAATAAAAAAGTATAAAGTGTGTGATTAAATTAAGATAACCCTACTGGTAAAGGATTTAACATACTGGAAGGAAAATATTTACAACTAATGAATAGTACTTGAAATTTAACAGCAAAGTTAACCTAGTTCATGACATCATTCCCCTCGCCAGCCCCCTTTAAACACAGAAATAATTTCTGTAGTGTCAATTTATGTAATTTTAAATTGAATCTACTCTTCTAGAGTTTTTTTAACAAACATATTATATTAACTTGAATGTTATTTATTATATTTGTATACACAGAAAACACCTGATATTTTATATAATGAAATTTTAATAATGTATATACGATGTAAACTTATAGAATTATGAACTGTTTGGTTTTATTTTTTTTATCGTCCAAGTCCTATGATTTAAATGAATTTAAACTAATTTTTAAGAGGTTTTACCACATCAAATTTAGTCTCGAAATTTCAATATTACTCTTCAATTCAATTCTTAATATATAAAATAATTTATTTATATTCGAATAAACGTAAAAAGTCCCTTTCCAAATTTTAAATTTAAAGATTTTTATGCACGCGATTGTACCATTATTTAAATTTAACCTAATATTTTCAATCATCAAATTATTTATAAATTTCTATTAATATTAAGATTATAAACTATTAAATCTTAATCTTAATCATCAAGCAGTTAAAAAGCTTACCTCCTAAGAAGAAGTTCAGTTATGAGCAAGCTAAGTTGAATAATGTATATTGTCTCTTTGATTTAGTCTCTCTCTACATAAATAGATACATATACATTTCTATATTTTTTAAATTAAGCAATTTCATACTACCTTTAATTTTATCTTTATTTAACATCTTCAGATTTTTACTTTTTATGTAAAATATTTAGTTCTTTTTTCTGAATTTAAGACATCAAATTATTTTAAAATTTGAAATGGAATATATTTAGTAAATTTTGAATGTTTCTAGGAGTTATAAAAAATGTGGAATAATTTATTTCTGATTAAATATGGAATAAAATTTTCCAAGTGCACCAATTTATATCTAACAAATATATTAATAGGTTAAAATAAAAAACTTATAAAAATACTAGTATTTTTTAACTTATTCTTGTCTTAAAAACTAGGTTTGCAAATCTGATATATATGTATATATGCATGCATTATTCAACCATTAACTATGTTTTTGTGTTTGAAATTCATGATATTGTGCCTTCATATTGTTGGACTGAACTAGGAGATTGTAGACATGGTATGATAAATGTCATGGTTAATTTCCAATGATCTTATTAGGGACTTATCACATGTCTATTACTTTACCAACTTTCCATGGTGACATTTGTAATTATAATGTAATGCACTGGAGAGAGGGCAATGCTTCAAATCAATACAGAAGATTATCCAAGTTTAAGAATATTTTTAATATCTTCTTATAAATACTTCTCTTGTAAATTTAACAAGTTATAAAAATATAATATATAATAAGATCACTCAATGTTCGATTCTCCAGCTATATATGAAGAACTTATTTTCCAGTTAGGAATTAGCAAATAATTTATGTTCTCACCAAAAAAATCTCCACTTCCCCCATATGCTGGATCAAGATGTGTCAAGAAATAAAGCAGAGATTTAAAGAAAAAACCATTCAATATCATTACCTCATTTTTTAACGATGATGATGTTGATGGAGAAGATACATATAGTAATAACATTTTCAGGCACACACTGTTGAAAAGAAAGAAAAGGAAAAGCAAACCACACCCCCAAAAAATATGCAGATCAAAATATGTAAATATATATAACAACTAAGTAGATAATAATGGTAATCATATAGGCCTTTAATTAAATAAAATTTATAAAGACCTCCATCCTTTCTAGGACATTGATATTATATTGGTCCTTTGTCTCTTAATATTTGCTGAAGCAGACTCATCCCCCACGCTCTTCTCCATCACCGCCTTAAGTGCTTCTTGTATTGAGCTAATGCAGTACTGCTGTTGGTGGTTGTGGTCCTCGCTGCCGCTGCTCGAGTCTTCTTCTTCCCCAGTGATGAACAACACGTTCTTCACACGTCCTCCCAGCGTTGTGATCTCAGCTTTAAGGGTTCTTAGCCTCAATGCTTTCAAGGTCCTGATGAGTTCAGGAAACAGATCTGACCTATCTTCACAGCACAAAGAGGCTTTGATCACAGACCTCCCATCTTCATCAGCTTCGTCCACCACAGTTAACTCATCAGCCTCCGTAGGAACCGGACTCGATTCTGCTATCAATGAGGTTTGACGCTTCAGCTCCTTCACATGCTGAATCACTTCTGCCAGCAATGATGCTTTATCTGTCTACAATAAAGAACACAACAAAACAAAAAGAAATTTATGTTACGTATATGACAATAAAGCACTGAAATTAATTGTACAATATCATGGTGCCAAAACAAATGGTGGGGCTTCGGAGATGTTGTTATGTGAGGTTATGAGGTTGGTAGGTAATGGCGTGATGATTGTGAAATGTAAATAGTGGGTATCTTTGAATGGTGGAAGTGTCATGCAGCATATGATAGAGAAGATGAAATATAGAAAGGGGTATATAGAATAGATAGTGTGTGCGTTTGTGACTGACAAGGGTGCTAGTTTGTCTCTGGCTTTATTCTTTTCATTCTCAAACTGAGTTTGACTGATCAACATCATCCGGCAAGAAATTTCCATGCCAAGCTTTTCCACTGCTAGTTGGTTCCTCTTTATCATGCCAACCAAGCGACATTAACGCTAATACACTTTTCTCTCATCTCTTTTATTACTAGTACTTTTTCTAGCTGTTCCTCGGAACTACCACTCCCACAGAGACTACTCTCCGAACACACATACATAATTAAAGTCATTAGTGTGAAGAAATTAAGCCGAAAAGGAGAAAGTAGAATATCATGAAAACAAATTAAACAACTAACAAAGCCAATCAACTGGTAAAAAAAAAGCAGGCAAAAACAACCCAATAGCATTTTTTGCACCTCATTTTCTAAAAGGTTATGATATTTTGATTTTGTTGTTTTACTTACTATGCCAAAGTAATAAATAGAATCTTGCAAAGATTTACAAACCACTCTTTGAAAAGAAAAAGTCCATAAAGAAAAAACACAATCTTGCACTATTGTTTATACGAACATATGTTCTTATAAGGCACGAGTGGGAACAACATGAGATTTAGATCTTGGATTTTTGTTGAGATGAATAATTACACATGCACACTTTTTAAGTAATTCACTATTCATGATACGTGAATTCGTTTTAATCAATGAATATTAATCTGGAAAATCAATTAATCAGACTCACTTTGGTTGTGCTAGGCAACAAGCTGCGAAGCTTGGCAAGATGGTTGTTGATTCTCTCTCTGCGCCTCCTTTCGGCTTCACTGTGACTCTTGGAAGCTGCAAGGGCCTTGGCCTCCATGATTTCCTGAGCAGTCATCTTAGCCAACTCGGTTTGGAGGCCAAAGGGTGCCGAACCGGGTTGAACGACCGGTCCAAGGGTGTCTGATATGATCCTAAGATGGTCAGAAGATGAACCATCATATGCAAACTGAAGAGAATGACCCCTTCGGTTGAACAAAGTTGCATAGGGTGAAGGTTGGGGAGGGACAAGAAAAGGGTCGTGCTCTCTCACCGTGTTGAAGGGGTGATGAACCTGATTATGAGGAATAGACCAAGGCTGATGCATGATTTGAGAGACTTCACCAGGGTACATGTTGAGCCCTCCTCTTCCTCCTCCACCAAAGATATCATTGTTTTGTTGCTGCATCTGTTGCTGAAGGAGAAGCTGGTCTTGATAAGCCTGGTGGTAGTTATTGATCGCTTGAGAAGAACACTGCCCTTGATCTTCCTGTATCATTTCCCTAGCTACTCTACAGCCGCTGTTGCCTCCTGTTTTATATGGAACTCTATTGAAGGATAATACAAACTCCAAGGCTTTATATATAACAATATTTTGCTGGAGAGGAGAATTAAAAATTAAAAGAAAGAAAAAAAAATGGAGATTCAAATGTCAGAAGCTGAGGTGGGTTTGTTTTGGTTTTGTATTTGTATGCTCTACTGATTTTTGTTTTGTTTTGTCTGATGTGAGTAAGAAAAAGGAGGTTTGATTTGGAAGAATAAAGAGTTGGGAGAAGTTTGCTTTACACTTGCACAAGGAATAAAAATGAAAAGGGTATTTCAAGGGACAACGTGGGTTGAAAAAAACGGGGGGCCTTTTTTCACACCCGTTACCATCATGAGTATATACTTTGAGATAAAAGACAGAAATGTGGAAAAAGGAAAGAGAATAGTAAGCATGGTGAATGATGTGTACAAATAAAATAAATATAAAAACCAATAATATTATAAAAATATTGGTAGAAGGAAAAATAAAAGAGAGAGAAAAAGAGAGCTTAATACCCTGTGCAGTGTGATTTCTGATTATACAATTGTGGTTTATAATTGTATGATGCTGGGATGAATGAGTTACTTTGGTTGTTTCTTTCTTTCTCTTGTGGTGGTGGGCGGTGAAAGAAAAGTCCAAATGCTTTGGATTTCTCTTTCTGCCTCAATGTCAAATCTCTTTCACTTAGTAGTGTTTTTCTGCCACAAACCTTTGTGCGGGGCAAGGTTACCATCCTTTTACATTCAACAAAACTTTCCTTTTCCTTCGTGCTTTGTTTCTCTCTTTTTGGTTTCTTTGTTTTTTTTTTCGGTTCTAATCTTGCAGCCTTCTGCGCACCAACACCCTCTATCATATACAGAAACTGTTTAGTGCTGCTACTTCACTTTCCTTTCTTCTTACGGCTCTCTCTATCATACCTATACATGTATGTATGTATGTAACCATCCACACCTATTTATGTCTGTACTTTCCTTTATCATTTTACATAGACATGCTTTTATATTTTCTGAAATTATTAAAGACGCTTTACATACTAAATTTCATTTAATGTTCTTTCTATTATAAATTACCATGTAATTATATTTGTAGGTATGTATGTGAGAGAGAAAGAGGTAGAGATAGGGACGGGAAACACAAGCAAAGCGTAGTGAAGGCACACTACACAGATTGTCGACCGACCAACGACCAAAAAGACTGATATTATCATCATGCTTAACCAACCGTTCTCTTTATCCATTAATATTACTTCCAGTGCTGTCTTACTGCTAATTAATTTTGTTCAAGATAACAATTTTAAATTATATTAATTACTCACTCATTAAAATAATTACAAAAAATGAAAGTGAAGAATCTTGAAATGCGTCAGTGTGTATATTTTCAAGATTTTTCCTTTTAACTCCCGAAATTAGAAGCCATGTCTTATAATTAATAAAGGAAACGACTAATTGACTTAATTGTTTTTTTTTTATCAAAAATCGGCAATGAACAAATCATGTCATTAAGAAAATGAATAAAGATCAATTTTGTACAACAATATACTGAAGATAATGGTAAATAAATTACAAGTAAACAGATTCAAATTCTAATAAATGTTTTAAAAAAATTTAAGAAATATAATATTTAAATTTTACAATATATTTCAGTCATAATTTTTTTTTATAAAAACTAATATTATATATCAGTGTCCTTAATACACTTATCAATATGCTGTAAAAAGATAGACTCAATACAATTTTTTAATTCATTGAATGTCACAATATTTTAAAAAATCATTTGATGATTCTTTAACTATTTTATTTAGTACAATGGTTAGTAAAAACTATTGTGTATGACTTTAAAAAAAAATTGCATTACAAATATTTCTTCAACTACTATCAAGGAGATTTTAAAATATGTTTTACACTACTTTTCCCCCCAAAATAATTCAAGGATATATAGACTCCTCTATGTTAAATAAAAACTTAAGATTTAGTTACACCTTAAATCCTTCCAATGTAAATTATGTATGATATTATTTATTGATTTTAAAATTAAACAAAATTAGACCTTCATAGTTTTCTATTTCTAGAATATAAATTTCGAGTATTAAACAACTTTTAAATTATAAATTAAGTGAAAATTTACAAAACTTGAAAGATCATAGAAGTAATAAGACTACAGAACGAATATCTATGTTTTCTTAATATGAGGTAAAATTTGATATTAATTTTGGTTTACAAATTTTCAGAAGAATAAAATGAAAAGTTTAATGAAAAATATTAAAGATTAAATCGAATTTATTTAATTAAAAGATAATTTCATAATCATCAACAGCATTAAAACTATAAATATTTCGAAGAAAAATGGTAACCAGTGTATTAGAAAAACTGACTAAAAAGTTTTAAAATATTTTCTTAAGATACATAAAATATATTTCTAAAGACTTTTCAAAAACATGCTTATATAGGTTTTAATGATAAATATTTAATTCTTTAATTAGTAAGACGATCTTATATTAAAAAATTAAAACAGATGTACTTGCAAACTTAAAATAAAAAAGATTGTATAAAAGATTTTTTAGCAATTAAATAAATAATTAATAAGTTAATAGTAATAATTTGAATGGGTAGCATTTTCTTTTAATTTAGGGTTTTGGGGTTTTGGCGTTTTCTTTTCCTTGGTACCTCGGTCAAGCCCCCCACGTTCTTCTATACTCTTCCTATGTCCACGCCACCCTTTATGCTTCCCCAAGACCATGTAATCATTGTGTCTTGGAACACACTCTATCCCTCTCTTTCTCTCTCTCTCCATATGTGTCTTGGTTTCAGCCATAACCTACACCTTTTCAAACCTGTTTATGACAAAATTAATTAACCCTACTACTACTAATGCTCCATGAACAAAGGATAAATAAGGAAAAACCGATGCCATTTCACATAATAATGCACTACATTATTATAGAGTAGTGGATCTACGCAATGCCTTCATTTTTACGTGCCATGCTACTATAACTAGTACTATAACTCCAAGACAGCCCAAACTTAAAGTTTAATCCAAACTAAAGATCAGATCATTGTCACTTTTAGCATATATTATTACTAGCATCTCATCATCTTCAAAATCAACCAAGATGAAATTAATCATTCCTAGCTATTAATCATCTTCTCAATTTCAATAAACGACATTTGGTAAAGAAGCACGATTCTTGTTCGAAACGCACATTCTCTCAGAACAAACATAATCCCAAGTCTATAGCCTTGTATAGGAGTATGATATGTCATTTTTCTTTGGTAACCACTTCTTATACTTCTTTGTATTTTAATTCAACTTTCATTCTATTTGGTTGACGTAATTGACTTAGACTCAGGAGACAGCAAATTGCAGCCAATAACTGTGGTTTCTATAGGACAAAATTATTTTGTTTGTTAGCTAAAAAAAATAAATAATTTTTGTGTATGAAAAGAATGCATAAATATATATCTATATGTCACTTTGAAATGGGTTGGTAAGATATTGTCCACCAGAATGTTAGAACTTGAAAAGGCCACACAACACAGAGGAATAATAGATGTTTCCGTTTACTTTTGACAAGTGGCACAGTTTATCAAGCTCTCCATCTTTATCTTCTACTTTCTTAAAAAAAAAAATCTACTTTTTGTAAAAACTAATTTAATTAGTTACCTAAGGAACAAATTGTTTTTAAGCAGTGTTGACTTTTAAAATTAAATGATTTGCAAAATAGTGTATGGTTGTCACTTTCTACATCCTTTTCAATTTTCCGCACATAATAAATAGTACATTAAGGGTGATGAAAATATTAATAGAATTTTTTGGAGGATGAAATTTTTGTGTAATAATATCAAAGAGTACCAACATTTTGTTGCATTGCAAAAAAAGAAGTTGAAATTGATTGGTAGTGGTGCATGGTGTAAAAGAAGCAGCGTGTAGGGTAATTTAGTAGCCCTAGCTTAAAAGGCAAGTCTTAGATCTCTTGCAAAGCCTGCAAGTAAAATACACGATTCCATAAGCAGTTTGGCCATCAAAAGTTAAACAAAAATCATTAAAGTCTATACACATTTCATTTCCCTATTCAACATTATAATTGTCCACGCATAATCACACACCAAAATAAATAAATATATATATTGAATTCTTGAATACTTAAAAAAAATTGAAAATATAATTGTACTAGAAATATAAACCACAACATTGAGAAATATATTTCTATATAAGGTAGAGATAAGAAATATGAATAACTTATAAGAAAAAAAACTCATCAACAATATCAGAACCAACACTTTATGTTTATTTCATGATCAGCTCAGAGAGTATAACGAGTAAAAATTTATAAATTAAAAGTTTCTTATATCGAGTTTAATCTACGTAAAAAATTAATAGGATATCTCCATATATAAATCATTATTCTTATTTAATAATTTACATTACTATAATGCCTTAAATATATTAATGAAAAAATTAACATATGTTAAAAATCATTATAAGAATTCTTAAATTTAATTCTCCATAGATATATTAAATATTTTTGAAAAAATATTATATATATATATATATATATGTGTGTGTGTGTATGTAAAGTTTTTAGATTTAAAATTTAAATTATCATTATTAAAAAATTAAATTGTTTAACTGTGATGAAACTGATTGTAATAAAATACTATTATTTTTATTTTTGTAATATAATATATGAATTTTTATTAATAATATACATAATTTTATAAAATTAAAATTATACTTAAAAATATCATAACTCAGCATATAATAGAAAAATTATAAAATAAAACATATATTTGAGTTTAACAGTGATAAATAAAGTTTAGTATTTATGTCCACTAATTGAATATTTAAACTCATGTGTTTGTTGAAGTGGAGGTTTATTGAATGATCGATGTTGACAAAACACAAGATTCTTTTTTATCATGTTTAGTCTATGTTTTTGTTCAAGTCTTTTCTCTTCATGTATGTTGTGAAAGTAGGATAAAAAGTGTATAAAGTTTGATTTGTCATTTTATTATTATCTTGAGCATAAAAACTTATTTTTAAAAATTATTTAAAATGATATTTTGTAATTAAAATAAAATGATGATATAATTAATTAAAATAATATTAATTTTTATTATTTTCGTTAAAAATGTATTAGATATGGAGGTTGT